TTTCATAATATTGTGTCGAAATATAACAGAAATCGTATGTATATAATAACTTCATCATAATACAATGTGTGAGCGTCAATATGGGCAGTGATATGAGCTTAGTCCATCCTTTTTTTTTTTTTTTTTTTTAAGGGGGGAAAATCATCGAATGACTGCCCCCGCCTGGGTGAGGCGGGAGGGAGTGTCAGACTCTTACTGACTAAAAACCACCCCGTTCCTTCTCCTGCACGTCGAGCCGGAGCCCCGGTTACCCGTTAGGTTCTCCGCGACTTAGTCCATCCTTAATTACAGATATCAAGTCTCGTAGCAATTGCTACGAAACCGCTACGAACTTTACTACGACGATTTTTAAGTAAAAAATATCAAAACTCAGTTAAAATATCGCTCTTATGCACTTACTACTATAAAGTCTTCTGCATTCTTATAAAAAATTCTCGTTATATAGAAAATCCGGTTGAAATCCATCCTGAAATTAACTGGTAACGCAATTTCAACTGGCATATGTACGTCGGTCGTAGCTAATGTGATATTAATGATATTCATACTAATTTGGCCGGGGCCGCAGAATGAGGCCATGCCAAGTTTCGACTGTCTAAATAATTAAGCACTAACTCCCCAATGACGTTCTGCACACCTATGTACTTCGTTACTAGATTAAACAAGTTAGTTGACATTAAAAACTACTTACTTCATTCTAGTACTTCACATAACATTTAGAATTAATGAGTTGATATTTTTAACTTGAGTTCATGTCTAAGTAGCTATGGTCAAGTAGGCATTTAGTTAAACTCAGATCTAAGTCTTGGTTGGTTATGATTTGCCTACCCCACACCATCAGGTCATTCAGAAGTCCAATAAAAGAAACAAGAACATTAATTGTCACATAATGTTTATTCCCAATCTTTGGACCCTATAATGCTTTAAAACTAATAATAACATAAATACAACATTGCAATAATTATTATGGAAATAAAGAGTTTTCATATTTCATCGTATTGTGCCTCTTCTGTAAACTAAATTGAAGTAGTAACATTGTGATCAAATACATTTTTCTTGAATTCATTTTACAAAAAGAGGCACTAAAGCAGACAAGTCTACAAAGCAACGTTTTAAAAGCATAACTGTTAATTTTATATCTAATTTCAGTTATCCTAAACTAGACACCTATAAAGTACTATTTTTATTAACTATTAGACACATAATATTGAACATAAGATCGTTCAAGAAAACAATGATTATATTTATTTATTTAATAAAAGATCTGTTACCTACGGGCTAATTTATAAAACATTTTCCTATAAGGTCTGAGTACCTTCGTACGGTTGTTCTGGACTCGACTTGGAGACAGTAGCTCAGTAGCGGGCTGACGCAGACAGGGTTCATGAATAAAAACTTCGATTGAGGATGAGCTCAAATTTATTTGAATTAACAATGACGTCTCCAATGCCACAATACTCCATGAAGTAAGAAAAGAAAATTAATGAACATCTATAAAAGTTGTAATAATGATAATTAAGCTAATTTTATCACTATTTTTACAATGTCATTATGTTTTTCTTAAACCACAATAACACTTTACCTCTGCTCTAAAAGCATTAAATAATCAAGTCACACAAATCTAACAATTAATTACTAACTATATAGTTTGTATGGTTTATTTTGCTCGATATACAAATCAGTTTTCAGCAACGCACTAACTTTTGTCGCCGAAATTAAAATAAAATGTCATTTAATACTGAATACGAAGCGAACTGTTAAATTAATTTGGTAAAGAAGCCATGTCAATATATCTAAATAACAATAAAGTAACGCACGACGCGGCGCGGGCGCGTACACGCGTAGCTGCGTCCAGCCGGCCCGCGACCGCGCGGCGACAAACAAGGGAAGTTGCGCGACACTACTCGGGGACTATGCGTTACGATCCACGTTTATTTAACACAATCTAACCATTAACGTACGAAAACAACACTTAGCAGGTATTTGATACTCCGATTATTTTGTCTTCTTTATTCTATCCATATTGTATCTCTTAGAATAGTATTTAACTAAATTTATTAAGGGGCACAGAATTGATATGTTTCCGATGCACGGCGTTTGTGTGATACCGCTTCACTTAACCTAACTTGCAAGGCGACGCTACACCCCTACACTACCCTATCACATGCGGGCCAATGTCACGCGTCTTTATATAAACAACGACGATCCGAACTCCATCTAGCTACTCGATTTCACAGTAAACGTTAAGAAAATATCTTTTGAGGTTTACAATTAGTTTTGTGTTAAATCCTTTACAGGTAAAATTAATCAGAACTAGAGATAATTCCGAGTGAAAGGATAAACGACAGCAAAGCGAATGATATATTATGTCGGAAACGCAATAGTAGGTTAGCGTGACACATAGCCGATTGCATTATAAGTAGTAGACGAGAAATACAGAATAAACGCCTCTATGAAACCGCTTTTTAATTCCTAATTACACATTAAATATTACATGATGATATGTATCGAGTAGTCCCGCAAAAGGTGACGTAGCCGTGTCCGCAGCCACTGGACGTCTCTTACTCGCTATCTAAGGTTGTTGGACGGAATCATGGCGGCGACGGCGTCCTGCGCGCACCGCCCGCCCTCGCCACGTAACGTACGCGTGCGGCGACCGGGTCGGGCCTCGCTAAACTAACCGTTGCCTGTCGGTGTCTCTACAGGTTACAATAAAACTATCATAGAGATTTCAAAGAGATGACACACATTTGACAGAAGAGAGCTTAAAATTGATCGTCAAAAAGGCAATAGAGACATCGACAGACTAACGCAGGACAACTGAAAAGAAAAAATAAACTTTTCGTTGTATTTCAGTATGCGCCTGAGGACGCCGCTCGCCGAAGGTATGGGAGATCACTACTACATTATTACACAATTACTTACACACGAATTAGCATTATATATCGAATTAAATAAGTGAACATTGACTTAGCTTAACATTATAACCCACAATGAATAATGAATAATATACATATAAGAGAATCTGAATCTGTCTGGAGATTTCATGTGACATAAAACATTATTATACATATTTGATTTACATTTGATATTAATGGCTTGGGTATAAAACTGAATCGAAATGTATATTTAATTTAATAAATTGATTGTTTCGTCTCTAACATTAGCAAAAGTAGGTAACAATGAAAACAGTACAATAAGATGCCTATCCTAGGTGTCTTCGTGTATCACCGCGGCATCAGCCTTACTTGTGTCGTAACAAATGATGTCTGCTTGCACTGCTGTGGCTCTCATATATTTGTCGTGTCCACTTAACGTCGCAGTACAATGAGCCTACAAAATACAAGTTTGGTACGGTCTGAGGTTAGTATTAAAATTATGTATAATCCTTTATCTTTGGTCTATACGCCACGACGTTCGGTACATTGTGTTATTACAGTTACTATAAACAATGTATAAAATTTTGCTAAGTCAAAAATTGACGAAATTTCTATTAAATATTGACTAAGAGATTTCATAAGAATTCACATGCGGAGTCTCTGGCCGGCGACCGACGAGAGTCGCATGAGTACCTCAACAGATTTCTGTCGCGTCAACGTTGTAACCCAAAATATCCAAAACCTTATTTTATAGCCTAAGCAGGGATTTTTTTTTACTTTTTTTTTTGTAAATTTTACGTTTACATCAGCAGAATACGTCACTAAATAGGTACCTATAATAACATTAATATTTCATTTTTGGTTTATTGCTATCTCGCATTGTAGTGTACTTATGTCGACACGTAGGTAACTAAGTAATCATTCTGAATGCGATAGTCAACTAGCTAAAAATAAAAAATATATTAATCTTCATTTTGATTAATCCTAACATTTCAGTAAATTTAATTTTCATTACATTGTTTCATTATTATGTATGAATAACTTTCATTAAATAGTAATGTAACTATGCTGATTGTCTACAATAAATACCCTTATCTAACATTATATTACTCACCTAACGATTACACAATAAAAGTAACTACTACATTTTAAATTAGATTATTACCAAAAAGCTCGTCAAAGCATGCAGATAGTAGAATAACGTTTTACTATTCAGCGTCGGCGCGCACGTCGCCGACTAGTTTCAACTATATATATTAATTATTAATATAATGATTACATTTAATTATTTAACTCTCATAAGGCCAAGGCTAAATTCTCGCAACAAGAGACAAGACTGAACTGATCTCGATTGTGTCGCATCGCATACTAACCGCGAAGAGTGAGGGAACCCGTAGTGGTAGGTACAATACAGAACGTACAAATAAACAAACTTCACTGACCACCATGTCTGGAGTAAAATCTAAATTCGATTTTAAGATTTTTTTTTTCGCAAGGCACAAGAAATTTTGGTATTCACCTAAGTAGAGAAAGGACATAACAAACTCATCGAACAGAGAGATAACATAACAAGTAGGAGAGGATGCGCGTGCGCACGTCGCGCGACTGTTCAGCGGCACTGTCCTGTTGCACTCGACAAGCGGCTCCGAGGGCTTCCCCGTCCTATCGCATCAAGTCCTAGTCAAACATTATAACATTACAATTATTTAATTTACAGATAGAAAGGATCGTAAGACCAACACTAGAGTGCCAGCGCTTTAACGAGTGATTGAATATTATAAACATTACTAAGAAAGTATTGGGTAAATATAATTTGAAATAGTCATGAAATTCATTTAAATACGCTAACATTATCGAGGCTAAAACAAAAGTATCGTATCATTACATACAAATTCATTTAAATCATTCAACTTGAAATATCATTTAACAAAACGTAATCTTTCTATGAAGGGCACCTTTGGTTTTTAGCTTACTCGAATGAGATATATCCTAAAATGTTTAATTTCTGGTAATAAACTATATCCATAATAAATCCTCCCAGTTGTATACATCGGCCTTGTAAAAACAAATATACAAACTTTACCGTACAATAAGTTAGTTGTAAATAAATCTTATGTTACATGATAAATCGAATAATAAAATTAAATAAACATGCTACATTTATAGGAAATTAATAGATTAAAATTATATTATTTTACCATGAACAGTAAACAATAACCTGGAATGTTAATAATAATACAATTAACACTTGCTAATTTTGGTATAAACGAATAACACCACACCTCTGACGCAGGGAGTCAGTAAACATAACAAAATAGGAGACAGAGCTTCTAGTGAGGACGTAAGGGTTGCGGGTGATGGTCTGCCCGGTCTCCTGGTGCCGCCGGCCCGATGCGATGCAGAGGATCCAGATAGCGCGTCCCTCAGTGAGCTGGTTGTCAAGTGCCGAGAGCTACGAACGAGTTAATGCTGTTCGCCCTCTTCTCCGCTTTTGGCTCCCTGCGTAATGCAGCACACGTTAATGGGTGATCAAACATTCATAGCGGCAATCTCTATAGCTTACGAGTTAGCAGGCATTATGTAACTATAGTGCGAGGTGCAGGTGAAACATTAGTACATAGGTTTATTGCCTTCGACCCTCATACACGAATGTGTCTAGTTGGTCCCGTGTATGACAGCTGAAGTATTGTTATCAACACATAGAAATTAAGAATTCATTATGTAGCTAGGCTCCATGGACTTGAAATGAATTTATCTATCACAGTCCTTCATTTAAGGATAGAAAAATATTTTTCAGTTACGCTAAATATGTACCCTGCGCGATATAGCGAGAAAACGAAACGTATGAACTTGTAACTAAACATAGTGCGCGTGCATACTTCATGTGCGAGAATCCAGCCGTTGTGAGCCATCTTATGCCTCGCAAATTCGAGGTGGATGGCGCCTTCAGAGCTGAGAAGCAGCGCGCCCTGCAGGCGAGCTAGCGCGGTGGCCGCGTCCGACGGGTTAGCGAAGTCGACGAAAGCCACCGGGCCCGAGCTGCCGCCGCCGCTGCTGCCGCCACTCAGCAGTCGCAGGCGAGTGAACCCCGGGCAGCTGTACCATCATACTCTATTGTGCCCACTCGTACCCCCCTCATGACATGTGTGTCTTTGATATAAAAACCTAATGTTGTGGAATCTTGTGACTAATTTCCGAGAATACTGCACTCGTTATAAAATGTTCGACCGTACAAATATTTAGAAAGCAATGTTGTATTGTGTTGTATAGTGCTTCTAAATTCTAAAAGTAAACTAAACAGCGCGATATTTTGTCATCCTGTTTGATGGTCGAGACATAAATATCGCGGTGGGTGTGTGCGGCACGATACGTACAACATAAAAAGTAATATTCACGGCGCTCATATTGTGTGGTGTTATAGTGCTAACGTACGACTAGTTGTGACAACTGTGGAGATATAGTGACGTTCGTCATGCTTAGGGTGGTACGGGTGCAGGCTTCAAATCTCACACAAACAATGTAGCTCAAGCAAATGTTTCTTATTTAATGTTCTCTTTGAATGAAACAGTTTGTGTGAGACAGAGTAGAGCTAAAATCGAAACAAATTTTAACCCAATAATGTTTTATGTGGACGACTTTGTGATTTTCGGTGCAACATGCACTGTGGAAAGTTAAATTTTATTAACTTCATACATTTTTGAATGCTTTTATATGTTTTATTACCTTATGTGTTGCGTGATCATGCACATAACATCGTGTTATTTTTCGACTGGAAATATTTGTAACGTTTGGATTGAAAAATTATTTAAAATTTGCCAATTTACTTTGTATGATGTAAATAGCATGATTTATTTGCAGTCGAAAACTTGAAGCTTTGCACATATAGATTTGCTCATGGATTTGCGTACGAGTAGTATTGTGGGTTTACCTGCTAAAAATTTCCTTCAGTTCATGTTCTGAGACGAACTGTCCGAGGTTGGCGACGAATAGCGTCGAGCAGGGAGGCGCGGGATGCGCGGGATGTGCAGCGGGCCCAGTGTGCGCCGGCACCGCTGCGCCGGGCGACCCCAGTGCGGGCGCGGGCAGCACGCAAGCACCCAGCGTCAGGGGGGTCTGGACATTATTACCATGATAATAAGGTCCAAACTCCTAGTAAAGTTGGAAGTATATAAGAAACCGCTCTTCAATACGCGGTAAAGCATTCTGCGTTATACGATTATATCCCGAATATTTTAAGAGTGTGCAATAATTTCAGCATCTTCAATTATGTTGTAAATTCTGTAGAACGCAATATGCTTAACTGCTCTTAGTTTTACAAGTTCAACATAGCAAATATGGAAATAAGTACGTGAAAATATATACATTGTAAACTGATACATTTATAGTAATAATAAAATTACGAACTGATAGGTAACTAAAAAGAAAACAATGGCATAATTAGCAAAGCAGCAGCATCAGTAACCTCCTCTAGAGGCTATCATGATTGAATTTGTGGCAATATTTAACAAATATTAAGGTGATCAATGTTATTAGCTATTATGAATCCCTGATGAGTTGACAGAAGAAGCCTTGTTGAAGTGAGATAAGACAACATACGTGGTGTGGCCTATCGGCGGCAGCTAGTCAGAGGTAGGATCGGACTGGCGCCATCTGTGGGTGGATGGCGGGGTGCACCAGTCCGTGCGACAGCGCCGGCAGCTCGCCGCCGTACGCCAGCGGGTGGTGCCACAGCTCTGCGCCGCCGCCCGGGAAGAACGGACTCGCTAGGTCTGCACCACAACAACAATGTCACCAGCCGCACGGCACAAATACAAGCTGTGTCAGTGTGTTAAACAGATCAACGTTCGCACGACGTAACTAGGAATGTGATATTAGAATACTGCTAGAGAAAATTATTATTTACAATGTGCTTGTCACATGTTTTCACGGTTCTTCAAACTTTCTTTACTTACTATTATTTTCTATTATGAGAATAAATCAAAAAGTTGATTAATATTATAATAATGGCGAATTTACGATTATGGCAATATATTTTTTTTATTTATGTACTTTTACAACGATAATGCTGTTGAAGAATAATTTATGTCTTATCATGAAAACATGTAAAAGTTGACAACAGTGGTAAGAACCCGATAGATCAATCAATAGCTTCGCGGAGCTAGGCCTTGCGTGGTACGTGTAAGCGGTCACAGATACTTGCCCTCCGCGATTGCTCGACGCCCCGGTCGTACCCGTCACTTGTCTACTTAGATCCTCTTTATCGCCTAACGTTCCGGCAGCACCAGTGAGGATACGAGCATTATAGTGTGAGGATGGCACAGACACAGGTCGTGCTATTATTAGTGTGTAGAGGTACGGTATGGATGTGGGGGCTTCGAGCGAGCGCCGGGCGGTGTGTGCGTTCGGCGGTACTTACGTCCAGTGAGTGGGTGCATCAATGCGGGGTGTGCAGCTGGCGCGGCTGTGGCAACTGCCGGCTTCGGCTTGCTGACCTTCGTGTTGCTTTTAGCGAACTCCAGCCGAATCGTTTGCGGCATGTCGGGGTCGAACCGGACGCCCTGCTGTGAACAGCCGCGAGCGGTGCGGCGCTCCGATATAATGACGATGGAAGGGTCGGCCGCCGCGAGCTCCCAGCGTACCAACACGATAGCGCGGGTTGGGAGGGCGTCGGTTCCACATTATTTCAATTGTAATGTCTTTAGTAATTATCCTTCATCATATTTGCCAAAATATAATAATTTTAGTCAAAAAATAAGTAACCTAGACCAGGACAATTTATGTGTAACGGTTCAAACAAGGGACATCAAGAGCAAGTTCGTCAATTTTGTCTTTACTTCGGATAGATTCGATAGAATCGAGAGGTCCGCGCCTGCGCCTGCTAAGGTGACGGAACACAGTGCTCGGGATGTGACATCAAAACCTGTCAAACAGTGACATGCATTGCGAACTCGTATTTACACCGTAACATAACCGATCAGAGTCCGGCTCCTCACAGCTCAATAACATCGACTTGATGACCCGACGTGGTCTATTCTGTATGTGCATGGGTTTAGCATAACTTACGATGCGGTTACTCGAGTCAGGAAAATGTTATTCCAAGTCTACAATGAGAATATTAACTATAGTGCTCATTGGCTGTGTTTGAGGCATGTGATGAGAAGAGGTTTAGTAACACCGTGCGTTATACATGTTTTAGTATTTACAATAGCGTATTGAGCTTCGAATACCTAGGACATATCTCAGTCTTTCATTGAGATACTGCGGCCCTTGTGTAACCTATCATACTGTGTTCGGAAGCCATTCAAACTGATTAGGCGTTGTAGTGTTCGTGGATATTTTTTGTTATTGTGTGATTTTCCGCATTGTAGGAAACATAAAACCATTTTAGTAAGATTTTATTTAGATTCTATCTGTAAGTTATCTACGGATAAAATATTTTATTGAGTTCGTCCCAATATGCCGACGCAATATGTTTGAAGACGTTCTGTCGTGATATTGGTTCAAACTCAATGCTTAGTAGTAGCGGTTTACAATAAGATCTAGAGCTATGAGAGTTTATTGTGACAATACCAACCTGAAGATCTTGTTTGGCTGCCTCAGCGCCGGCTCTAGTGTGGAACGTGACGAAACCGACCGGCTGCAAGAGAAATGTACCATGTAGCGCATAATATTTTATGTCATATTATTTTTTATGTACCTCATAGATATAATATTTTATGGTACATAGATACCACATACCATACTGTCACTTTAATGCACAAATTCCGCGCTTCACGATACTTCTGAATGACTTACTTTTGCCATACAAAATAGTGTAACTATAGAAAAGAATCCTAATAAATGATGTTATTACAGAATTGTTCGTCACGTAGTTTTTTCTTGTAATATTAAGGTCAATAGGTACCTAAGTACACTCAATCGTTTTAACTCGATAAACTATGCGAATCGTACCTATAGCGTCTGTTCTTCACAAAATTATCATATAACAGCGGTAGAAGTTGAAGCTGCCATTTACCTGTTTTCAATTTACTTAAGTATATTTTTACACTTGTTGATAGAACACCAGATAAGGCTGTAAAAGTATATTATTCGAATAACAGAAAATAACTTACCGAAGCTGTTTTTCCATTCTTGCTGGTCACCTTTAGCAGGGAACCCTCGTAGCCCTGTGCAAATCAAATAACAATACTTATTTTAACTTTGCTATCAAAACTTTACATTATCAAATTAATAGAATTGTCTATGTCATTCATGTCGCAGGAAAATTCTATTCAGTCATATAATAATGTTTAAAACTACCGAAAAAAGGTAGTACGTGGCGGTGCCTGGCGCGATGTAGTCACGCGATACCCACACTAAAACTAACCCCCGGTTTAACTTTAGGCACCTTTATGTTTGTGGTGCCATCCGTGCCAGCCGAGGATCGAGTGTAATCCCCCTTATCGGTAAACAGAATCGATTCAATCCGAATATTACGAATCGGAGCATGACATTTGATATTTACGGTACAGTAATCCGAATCGAGATCTAGTCGCGTGACGAAAACGGTGGTGTTTTCGGTTTTTATTTTCCCTCGATAAATATTTTGACATTTCTGCCGATCCGGATATTTTGTTAGGACTCGTTCTTATTGGCTGGCTTTTCGGGATAAATTCAATGCTCAATTGAAAAAGTACCTATTGTGGGCACGTTAACCATAACGTACGGAGTTGGACATTTTAATTACCAAATTAAAAGAAAGTTGAGAGTGAAACTGCATTGTAACTTTAATTAAATAGCTTGTGTGTCTTTGCACAATGTAAGTACAACAAAATAATGTAATTAATTGAGAACATACCTCGTACGCTCGAAATAGTAGATAGAGTTCTCGCGGCTTCGCGTCCATGGGCAGACCGCTGACGAACAACGTTCGCACCTGCAACAATACAACGCTCATTCAATTGTTTTATTTTATTTCATTCCCTCTCTCAAAGAGGTATATTGGTTACATGTAACTCACTCAGTTTATAGCTTTACATACATGGCTATTTTCGAAACTAAAATGTGTTCTTTTTGTCTCTTAAAATTATATCATCGCATATTTTCGTGTAAGGCTGTCCGAAACACTGAAATCAAATTAATGTTTTATTCAAAATCCAAAAGTTTTGTTAACCACGTAATTTTGTAACAGTTGTATTTCATGTAATTGAGATATTGAAATCGAAAGAGAAATTTAAATGTAAACCGGAAAGTCAATTTACACTTTTAATAACGGGTATCTACAAACTCAACGATTGGCGATTCAATAAATTCGTTAAATAGAGCGTACTATGACTGAAAGCCGGCAAAACCGCTAAAAGGATTGCAAATACATTTATTACAATTGTTTTGTTAGTAGAATAAAAATACTATAAATATTCATGTTTTACTTTATAGGTTCAAATAGATTCAGAAAACAACACAAAGGATATCAAAAGAATCGCTGAATGACTTCACAGACTATTTTTCCTCAATAAACAAAGAAAATGTCGGACAATTTCCACAAACCGCCACAAAGGAGGCATAGAAAACTTTCAATGCCGTTTTTTCGATTCTTCCATCGGTTTTGTAAACGATGCAGCGCATTAATTCGACGGGTCCATTTAATGAAATAAAACAGAGCCAGTAATGGCGGCGCGATTTGGCGCGTGCGGGAAATGGAGATTAATTGCTGGCAACACCGACCGCCGCCGCCGACGCTGACGCCATCTTGTTGCGTGCTTTATTTATGCGTCTGAGTTGAGATTCACGTTACCTTACATTTTAAAATTTTATTTAATTAGTACCTAAAGGTGGTGGTAGGTAAAAATATTTATAAATTAAAACGAGTTGTTTACGGTCAATGTTTAATTAAATCGACAACTGTTGATCACCAAGTTGAGTTAGTTAGTAGGGGCGGTCGGTTTCAGTATTTTCAGTGGTTATGATAAGAAGTTATGCTTTGAAGTCGGGCTTTGACTTTTTTCAAAATAAAAACTACCCAAAAGCGAGTACATTGTAGTCTATATGAAATCCTTGAGACCGTTGAAAGTAAAATGCGTTATGCCATGTTTACTGGAAATCTCTAACATTTCTACTAACTATAAAAAAGTCATCGAAACGTGTCACAGCTCTAACAAATAAAGATTTGAGAGCATATTTGGTCGGGGAGTGTTGATTTATCAGGTTTTATCAACATTAGGACACTTGCGGCGAGGGCGGTCCTCATATATATTTTATCGGCGTCCGTGCCCCGGCCAGAGCAGAATGTCGGACCTTTATGTCGGCTATTTTCCGGTCGAATGCGCGGGAATTCCCCGTTTCAACGAAACACGATATTTTTATAACATCATTTTTAAATATTGCCAGCATACCGAAGGAAATTAATACATAAATACGATTTTAATATTCTTAACGAGGAATTGATAAGACACCAGTGTGTTGTTAGATGCTAATGATTTTGGAAAATGGTAGGTAGGTAAACCTTGTATTATAAACGTGATTAGCGAAACCTTCTTTCAGCGCGATCGAATGGAAGCTATACCAAAGTTTAAGATCAATAACAAAGACACAGACAACAAATATTATGAAACACTGAAAGTAATATGAAAATAATAATAATGAAGATTTTACCGACTTTTCTTTGTGGAAAGCTCAAAGCTGAAGGCCATTTTGATTTACAAGTACAAAACATTTTTGCAATGTATTTACTATTTATGGCGTAAAATGAGAACAAAACTAAGATTGCAGCGTTAAAAGAACGTCAGTTCGAAATATACAATGTATCTGTATAGATCACGTTGGATAGGTAGCTGTAGGATATATCATCCTCGGCGAAACTATCGCGGGAGTCGTGAGTTTGGTTCCCTGGAGACTAATAAATATCTGTTTCTGTTATATGCAGTCACTTTGGATTTCCTAGCATGAAGGATAGCTCGGATGTAGTAAAATCAAATGAATGTACCTAAGGGTAAAAGAAGAATGATGTTAGTGGAGATATAAATTTGTCTTCAAAGTATTACTTATTTTCCCGGGACATTGTAAACGTAGATTATATCACTTTCTTAACTTCATTCGGAAGTTGGGAAGTCAATTGGGGGAGAACGGCTTCCAAGCGACGGTTGTGGACTAACAAATTGTAATGCTTTCTTAGAGTTTTTAAGTCTCAACGTCTTTTGTGCAATATCAGTGTAATTCGAAAAACATTTACATGTAACGTTTTTTTAATGTAAATTTTCTTTTTATTACTGACTTAAGAATACATAAGAAAAAGTCTGTTCGTACGTTTAGCCTTATTTTTTAGTACTACTAGTTAGAATTAAATCTTTCAAAATGAAAATATAGATTTCATTTTGAAAGATTTAGTTCTATAGTGATGTATGATGTATTTTCATAGATTCTGGCAGGATTCGTAGCAGATAAAAAAAATCACCAAAAAAAGAAAAGAATAAAACGAAAACGTAACTATATATAGATCCTCTAAATGCTCTTCCAAAGAAAATCAATAAACATGAATTCCAATCTAACACTTGTGAAAGCAAGGAGTGTGGATATAAGAATGTCAAATACCGGCGCACCGAACATATTTCAGGGAGGCAAAGGGTGGTACTGTCCGGTCAGTTTGAAAATGCCTCTCCATGTCGACCATTTTACACTCGGTTGCCCCTGAATCCCTACGCTCACTATTGAGTTATGTTTCATACTCGGCCCGAGATGGTAGAGAGGTTTTTCCGAATAACACATACACTGAAAAAGTTTGCGCGCTGTTATCAGTTTTTTTTCGGCAAGTAACGGGTTATCTTTAATTTTCTTGCGCATTTATGTATACGTAGATATTTTATATTCTGTGCTAAATATACATAAGGCTATGTATGTAGACAAGATGCTCCTAAACGTCTGAGTAAAAATAAATGATCAAAGATGTATATTCATCGATTTGTCTGCGCTATTTGTGATTTCATATAAGACTATAAGAAAGGTTCATTAAAAATAAAATAGAAGTGAAGCTTTATTTACAGCACTGTGTGATTATTTGTTTGCTGACAGTCGCGACAATGATAGGCTTCGTTATAGAATGAAGGCGTTTGTTAGTTTAACAGTATGTAAGTATAGATTTGCATTGCGTATGTAATGTACTTAATAAGATAGAATAATAATAATTATTTGACCATTCGAATAATAATTATCCTATCTCATACTTCCTTTTTGATGTAAGAAAATTATAATACAGATTCTCTCCGTAAATGACTAATAAGATTTATTACAAAAAACTAGCTTATTACTTACGCCCCAGAAGAAAATAAACATAATAATCATCAATCAACAGATGTTAATTCTCATTAATTTTCATATTATGAAAATTTCCGTCTCCAGAACTTCTCTTTATCACTGATACGGAAAACGGTCGTGGTGTATAAGTGGTCTATTTTGAGCTTATCTCAATTTTACGCCTTTACGGTTTTGAAAGCGGAACGAACAATTTGATCTGTCCAGAGAGACCGATACCGTCTCGAGTTGACGTTAATACGACAAGCCACAAAAATAAATTATTTTCCTCTATAATATTAAGTAGGGTACTGTCATATTTTATTATCTACCTATGTCATAATGTGGTTACATTTATTTTTGTTTGAACAAGTTTTTACCTACGTACCGTAGACAAATATGTAAATACAACATCCCTTGCATAATTTGCAAATTATAGTTCAGTGATAAATGATTTGTTTTGAAATAATTCCCCTCGTCATATTCATTCCCTACTGATGATCCTGTAAAGGTATAAATAATATGTTGAGCGGTACATAATGATCGCATTACACTAGATCATGAATGAGTAATCAAAGAGGAATGTGAGCGTTTCACTGCACCCCACAATGGGTAGTTGCAAGCTATGGCGCTTAATCATGTGTAAATTGGCAAGCGTAAGTGAATATGGATAAAACATAACAACATGCCAATTTACCACTAAAAAGGATAGTCAGAAGTGTTATTAAAACTGTTAATATTCATTGATTGACAATATATTACATGTACTTATGTATAATGGGTTTACTGACTATTATTTATTTTCGTATGAGAGTCTACTTTTTATAAGTAAATCGTATGTTCTGGTTTTCACCTTCTCCCACATTGCAAAATATCGAGGTACAATTCCACAAACTCCACAGTATGTTACATTCGCAGAATTTCAAAATCAAATTGGAAAATCTGAAAGTTGAACCATGCGTTCAGGAGGGACAACCGGTACCTGTTATACATTTCAAAATAAAATAAAGCTAGAAATAGTGTGAAGGATATTTTTACATAGGAGCTTGATGAGTGAGCAAAGACCAGGACATCGGCATGGACATCAGTGATTCCATTTGACCATTCGAATATTAATTTTATACATACGTCTGTTGGCCGATATGATAATTGTAATTGCGTATTCCAATTGGCGAGCCAATTACATCGCATGCAGTGACGATTTCCAAAATAAAATTGCAAATTTTACTGATACGTTATTGTAACAGTTTAATGTTATCAAGTTATTTCTTTATTGGTGTCTTAATTAACAGTTTTATACACTTTATAAATGTACGAATAGACGTTTGCTACGTCAGAACTACTAGGGATAGAATATGATCTTGAGTTTTTAAAAAGTGCTTTTAATGACATTTGCAAAGCGCTAGTAAAATAATCGTTATTTTATAGCTATAGCTATAGATTTTATAGCTATAATTAATAGGCACCGTTATAACAGTAGTTAACACAGAGTATAAAAATACAATGTGGCAAAGTATAAAGATACTTCTATTTTTATCATATTTATGTACACAGCAACCTGGAAAACAAGCGGGCCATGTTGACATTCAATAAACAGCGCCTATAAATAAATGAAAATAAAAATAAAATACGGATAAAGGTGTATTCACACAA